TGTTTTAATTGAAGATTGATTAATTAAAGTTAAGCAATTATGATCAGTTAGAACTTCTGAAGAGAAAAATGTAGAAGATTGTTATTTTTGTATCTTGAACAGAAAATTTCAAAGGGAAGTCCTAGAAGACAAAGTCAAATATCATAAGGAATGTGCAAAGACCTGGAGTTAGAAAACCAAAAGGGAAGAACACTTTCAATATTTCTTAAGCTGAAACAACTGAAGAAAAAATTCAAGCCTTGACTTGCAATATTGAAGGATTATAGAGGCTTCTAATTGAATTATATGGGCAAATATTGAATGATGCAGAAAGCATCAAAAGAAGATGGACAGAATATACAGAGGAGTCCTGGTGTGGCACTCAGGATAATGCACTGGACCATAAGGTCGGTTTGAATTACAAGGTCTGTGGTTTAAACCCACCAGTCACTCCTTGGAAACCCTAGACAGGGTCACTATGAATTGGAACCAACTCAAAAGCAGTTAACAACTACAACTATACCAAAAGGAAATGGTTGTTGTTCAATCATTTCAAGAAGTAGCATATGATCAAGAACCAATGGTACTGGAGGAAGACATCCAAGGTGCAATGAAAACATTGGGGGAAAACAAGACTCCAGGAATTGATGGAATACAAATTGAAATCTTTCAACAAACTGATGCAGCACTGCAGGTACTCACTCACCTATACAGAGAAATTTGGAAGATATATTCCTGGCTAACAGATTGGAAGTGATCCTCATATATGCCCATCCCCAAAAGAGCCAACCAAATGGAATGTGTAAATCATTGTATATAATTAATATGTATATAAATGTATATAACTAATATGATATGCAAGTAAAATTTTGCTGAAGATCAAAAACAGCTGCAACAGTACATTGTCAGAAAATTGCCAGAGGCTTAAGCTAGACTCAGAAGAGAACCTGGAACCAGGGATATCATTGCTGAAGTTAGATGGATCTTGACTGAAAACATAGAATACTAGAAAGATGTTTCCTTGTGATTTGTTTACTATGCAAAGGCTTTTGACTGTGTGGATCATGACAAGCTATGGATAACATTGTGAAGAATAAATATTTTAGATATTAATTGTGTTCATGAGGAATGTGTACAAAGACCAAGAGGGGGTCATTCAAACAGAACAAGGTGATATTGAATGGTTTTAAATTAGGAAAGGTGTGTGCCAGGATTGTATTCTTTCACCATACTTATTCAATCTGCATGCCGAGCAAGTAATCCAAGAAGATGGATTCTATGAAGAAGAACGTGGCTTCATGATTGGTGGAAGACTCATTAACAACCTTTGATATGAAGATGACACAACCTTGCTTGTGGAAAACAAAGAAGATTCAAAATCAAGATCAAAGACTGCACCTTCAGTATGGGTTGCAACTCAATGTAAATAAAACAAAAATCCTTACAACGGAACCAATAAATAACATCATGGTAAATGGATAAAAATGTGAAGTTGTCAAAGACTTCATTTTACTTGTTTCCACAACCAACATTCATGGAAGCGGCAGTCAAGAAATCAAATGGTGTATTGCAAATCTGTTGCACAAGATCACTTTAAAGTGGTTAAGAGCAAAGATGTCAGTTGAGGACTAAGGTGTGCTTGGCCCAAGCCATGGGATTTACAATAGCCTCATAGGTACATGCATATTGGAAAATGAATAAAGAATTGATGCATTTGAGTTATGGTGTTGAAGAAAAATAGTAAAAGTACCATGGACTTCCAGAAGAACAAAAAAATCTATGTTTGTAGAAGTACAGCCTGAATGCTCCTTAGGAGCCAGGCTTAGTATCAGGAAGGACTAGTTTCTGAACAAGAACATCATGCTTGGTAAAGTAGAGGCTCAGTGAAAAAGAGAGAACCTCAATGTATTGATGCAGTGGCAGCAGCAATGGGATAAAAGCATAATAACAATTGTGAAGATGATGCAGAACTTTGCATTGTATCTGATTCAACTGCACCTGACAACAGGTATAAAGGAATATAGAGTGTCAGACAAACTTCCTTGCAGCAAAAACTTTTGAGTTGAGTTATCAGAGATTTATAGGGATCGAGTAGATGAGAAGAAAGGAAGAGTGTTTTCAGCCATAAATGAAGACCTTAGGGTATGGCGTGACATGAAGGGAGTTGGGAAGACTATTCCATCTGGAGACATTGTTATATGATTTTGGCAAATGATTCATGATCGATTTTGCATGGTCTTGAAGGCCATCTTAATTTTCATATTATTAAGAATAGGGAATCCTTGTTGTTGTTGTTATTATTAGGTGCCATTGAGTCGGTACTGACTCAGTGATCCTATGCACGACAGAACTAAACACTGGGACAACCTCACAATTGTTGCCACACTTGAGCCCATTGATGCTGCCACTTGGCCAGTCCATCTCACTGGGGGTCTTCCTCTTTTTCT